GGCGCCCGAGCCCATTGACGTCGAGCTCTTCTCCATCTACTTCCTCATCACGGAGACGGTCGCGACGGTGCTCTGGGTCGCGATCGCCGCGCACTGCCTCCGCGGCGCCCGCGTGCCTTGGCTGTCGCCGCCCTTGCGCTGCCTCATTGCGACGCTGTACGCGTCGGCCAAGCTCGCGCTCGTACGCCGACCTTGCATCGATCTGGTCTCACGCGCGTGTATGGTAGCTGCGGTACGCGTTTGCATCGACGTTCTACTTCAAGGCGACGCAGCTCGTGACGGGCGTCTGCGGACTCTTGGCTGCCGTCGCGTGGGTCTGGCGCCGCGGGCCGTTCTGGTTCCTCTTCCAGGCCAAGCCGCTCCGCGTGTTCGAGTCGTACTCGTCGATTGCGTCCTTTCTGCGCCACATTGCCTACGTCGTGCTCCAGGGCCTTGTGGCGGTCCCGACGCCGGCCGACACGGCGCCCGCGCAGCAGCCGGCGTCCGTGCAGCACCAGCTCTCCAAGCTGCATTTCCATGTCAACCGCGATATCTGGAACGGCGCCATGATCGAGCACTGGCGGCTTGCGCTGCTGGGGCATGGCCGCGCGCGCCGCGTGACGCGCGACGACCTGCCCTACTACGAGACGCGTGTGCTCTTTGCGATGCAATCGGATGGTCTCTTGGTGTCGTTTTATTTATTGGTACGTGCGTTGTCGATGTACAACTTGTCTTGTATCGGGTAAACTGATTTCATGGTAGCCGCCGCTGCCAAGCATCCTCCTCGACCTCCACACGGCGTGCCGCTGCAACGTGTACGAGCTCGTGCTGCGCTATCTCAAGTGCTCGGCCGATGTGGCCGTCGAAGCGCCGCTCATGTATTATGCGACGAATCCAATCTCAAGCGCGGTCACGTCGTCGGCGCAGCGCGACGCGATCCAAGACCTCCTACGGCGACTCAACGTCAACCTGGCGGTGGGGTAGAGTGCTGCCTATTACCTTAACCGGTTATATTGTTGACGAGCAAAGGGTACGATGCTTTAGGCGCGACATCCCCCTTCGGCTGCTCAAGACACACAACTTTATCGCGGCCGGGACACCCGGTGCGACCAAGCGCGTGCGCCGACCGTCGTCGACGTCCAAATTCCAGTTCGACTAGCGTCGCTGCTTTTTTGTTATTATTTTAAAAAAGGACAAGTTGTCCATGGCATCACAGAATGACACTCGACTACGGTTCGTCTTGGCGTGGACGAGCGAGATAGCCACGAGTAAAACGTCTTCCATAACCCATAAAACCAAACGTCGCCGCATGCGTTCAATGCCAGAAACGGTCCATGCCCACACGCGATGACCACGACGTGGTCGTCTTGGACGCTTGCACGAGGGTCCATTGGCTGGGCTCCACAGCGCCGTGTGCACGCGAACGCATCGGCATCGACATCGGTGCATAAACCGTTTAACCTTGTCCGCGTTGGACACAATGTCCTTCTCCTCCGGGCATTACCTTGCTTTTGCACCATTTACTACACACCCTGTCGTTCAACAGAGGGATGCATCGTCGCCCGAAGAGTCACCGGCTCGCACCGTTTTATTGCTACCTCTCGCTGTACATACCTCGCACATTCGATATTTGGTTGCAACGGATTGGGTAACGCGTTCTACAGACACACGCAACCCCTCTATATACCTCTGTATTTGCATACCTCTGGTAATGAATATAACGCAGTGTTTTCGACTTGACAAAAAAACCTCGTCGCGTTAGTTTCACGGCTCGGGCGGCCGCGGCGACGACGACGCAGTGCCACAAGCCGATTCGCCATGGCCGACGACGACAGCAGCAGTGCCAAGACGCCGAGCAGCAGCGCCACGTATAGCCCATTGCCTCCGTCGTATATACCAACGTACTCGCCCTTTTTAATGGACTCGTATGTGAGTTTGGGTCTCAACGGCTCGGTGCATGGCTTCTCGTCGCCCGGCAGCTTCTTCTCGGGCGTGCCCGACGACGGCCCGGCGTCGGAAGAGGACATCTACAGCTCGTTGTCGCATCTACCGAGCGCCATGAACAGCCTCTCGCGGCGAACGTCGTATACGGCGAGCGAGGACGACGACCCGCAGGACGACCAAACGCCGTCCGACGACACGCTCTGGAACTGCGTCGTGTGCACCAAGCTCAACCAGCTCGAGACGTGCTCATTCTGCGCGACGGCGAAGGGCGCGGCCTTTGCACCGACGCCACGCACCAGCGACGACTGCCGCACGCGGGGCACGGCCATCGGCTTTGACGCGCGCATGCAGCTCCACCGCGAGATTCAGGTCCTTCGCCGCGCTTTCGCCGCTTGCCACACATGTCCTTGTAGCCGCGCGACCAGTATGACATGCACCCCGAACGCCCCGACCGCATCGGCGCCATTTACGCGCAGTGCCAGCTCGACGGCGTCGTCGACCGGTGTACGCAGGTACGCTTGTCCTTGTCCAGTTGCACTCCTTTAATCGTACCATACACACTGCAGATCTCGGATGTGCTCGTGGACCCGAACGACCTCTTGCGCGTGCACTCGCCCGAGTACCTGCAGTACCTCGACGAGATCTTTACGTTGCCTTTCCATCACTTGACGCCCGACACGTACTGTTGCGCCGACTCGAAGACCGCTGCGCATCTCTCGGCTGGCATTGTCGTCGCGTTGATGGAAAAAGTGGTTCGGAACGAGTACCGCAACGCGTTTGCGATCGTGCGCCCCCCCGGTACTACTTGATACTTTCTTGATAGTTTGGGATCTTTGGGTCTCACGATATATAGGCCATCACGCCGAGCCGCAGCATGCGATGGGCTTTTGCATGTTCAACAACGTGGCCGTCGCGGCCAAGGCGGCCGTGCACAAGCTCGGGCTCCAGCGCGTTCTGATTGTCGACTGGGACATCCACCACGGCAACGGGACCGAGCACATGTTTGAAGACGACCCGACCGTGCTCTACTGCTCGTTGCATCGCTTTGACGGGTTACATTTGTGTTATATCTTCGACGGCAATATTAACCATCAACTAGGAATGGTGCCTTTTATCCCGGCACGGGGTCGCCAGACGCAGTTGGGTCGGGCGCGGGCGCCGGCTTCAACGTCAATATCGGGTGGTCCGGCGGCGGTGTCGGTGACGCCGAGTACCTCGCTGCGTTCGATCGCGTGCTCATGCCCGTGTTTCGGTCGTTTGACCCGGAGCTCGTCCTAGTCTCGGCCGGTTTTGACTCGGCGATGGGCGATCCGCTTGGCCGCTGTCGGCTCACGCCCGGTGGCTACGCGACGATGACGCACCTCTTGAGCTCGCTCGCCCATGGCAAGCTCGTGCTTGCGCTCGAGGTACATATGGGTTGATAGATTGATACAACGATTCCAACAAACCGGATAGGGCGGGTACAATCTGCAGTCGATTGCGCGGTCCGCCTCGGCGTGCATACGAACGCTGCTCGGGGACGCCGTGCCGGCGCTGCATTTGGAGCCGCCGATGGCTTCCGCGCTCGCAGCCATTGAGACGACGCGACGACACTTGGCGCCGTACTGGCCTTGCCTCCAGCCCGTGCCGCGGGAGGGAAGTAGCAGCGGCAGTGACGGCGACAGCAGCAGCAACAGCGCCAGTGACGACGACGACGACGACAAACAGACAGACGAGACGACGCGGTTGCGGCAACTGCGGGCGCTGCAGACCAAAGTAACCCGCGCGGCAAGGATCGACCCGCACTTGCGGCGCGACATTTTTAAAAAACTCGACGAAAAGCGAGCGCGGCGCTATCGACCGTACCCCAAGAAGCTCTAAGACCCCTCGACTCTGCTAGAAAAATTCAACCATTTTTGTCCACGCCTTGCGATGCACCGTGCCCATATAGGGGCGACCAATGTCCTCTGTCGTGGGCTTGGGTATGGACGAGAGTAGTTACGCTGGTCGGTTTTGTTCGTACGATTGACACAGTACCGGTCAAGCTCTAGCGTTTATTGACTCTCTACCGAGGTCGAGACACTTGATGTACACGATGAACGAACGTATGGACAATTTGTGACATTCTTGCATAAAGACAAAGGAATCGGCGCGTCACATGGGGTCGGGCTGCGTGGCGGGGCTCTTGATCTCCAGAGTGACATCGGACGGGTTGACTTGACTCGCTTTCAAGCGAAGGAGCACCGTGTAGTCGTGCGAAAGCACATCGACACCGTCGGCGCCGACGCAGCGGTACCGATTGTCTTGCGCAACGCCATAAATGTGCATGCAGACGACATGGCGGTCAAGTGCCAGATCGAGTGAATCTAAGGCGTCATCAACATCGTTGCTGCCATCGATCAACGTACGAGCCAGTACGAGGTGCCGACTTCGGTAAAGAAGCAGCCCAACGCGCCGCCAAACAGTGCCAGCCCCAGTAGCAAGTACCGGTACTCAAAGTTGTCACTGTGCCACAAGAAGCGCTTGAGCGCGCTACGCGACGCATGAGACACATAAGTGGCGTCGTAGTACCTTGGAAGACTGCAAGTGAGGCGCTGGGCGGCCAGCGTCAACTAAATGACAACACAGTCCACAATGGTATAAGACTAGCAAAGGACGAGGTGCAGTACGTAGTAGGTCCACGAGCCAATGAACTGACAGGCGCAGACGACGCCAATGACGAGCCAGTTGCCCATCGACGTCGCGTTGTGCGTGGTCATAAAGACGAGCGAGACGAGCACAAACACCTGCATCGCTGCCTAGTCGTCGTTGCATGCGTCCAACGACGTTGGACCGCGTTGTGGACGTACTTTGACGTGCTTGAACGCGCCCGAGAGGTGGATAAACCCAAGCAGAATCGCGTTGAACGTAAACGCGAAATCCATCGCCTGCAGTTGGTCGATCACGTCGCTCGACAATAATTTCTATACCTGAAGAAAGGGATAGGGGAAGAGACAAAAAATCTCCAGGTCGCACGCATGGTACACGGCCGAGATGACGCCGAGGCCAAAGAAGAGCACAGCTTCGACTAGAGAAGGATGCGCGTAAGCTGCTATCGCGTAAGCAGTGCTTGCGTACCGTAGAGCTTGCGGCGCCACGAAAACACACCCGCGGGTACAATGGCTGCGTTGGAACCAAGCAGGAGCCACGACCGACCAAGGCGCTATCCCATCCGCGCAGTAAGCACATCGATTGGGGTCACCTCGGTACCTCGGACGTTGAGTAAACGGACACTTCACACTGGCGGCCGCCGTAGCCATAGTGGCACGCGCACCGGCCGTACGAAAGGCCTTGGTACGCGGTCTCGACAAGGCATGTGCCACGGTTGCTGCACGCGTACTCGGGCGGACACGCGAGACTCGCCACATTGAGGGCGACGGCGTACGACGAGATGGAGGAGTGCGGTGGCACGATAGCAATGTACCAGGTCGCGTCGACTGTCGGAAACACAATGGGCGGTAGCTGCTGAAAGATCGCTGCATCGTCGTCCATGGCCTTGAGCAGCGGAAAGGCGAGGGGTGGCGGCGCCTGCGGGTTGTACGGATGCAAGGTCGGGTCGTCCATGGCGGTCGCTGCGCCAATTGAAAAGCTAGACTATCGCATTGGTAAACGAAACGGCGCCGCGCCACCTACCGGTAATCGTACAGCGTTGGCGACGGCAGTCCGTTGGCGCGAATGTAGATGGTGCTGGCAAGCGAGAGGTTTTTGGACGCGAGTTGCAGCGTCAGCGCAGCACCCGCGTACATGGCGGGGACGTCGACGACAAAGCCGATTGGCGTCGACGCGTTGGCGACCGCAGGCTCTGGGCTCGCAAACGACGCGGCGAGGACAGAGTCGCCAACGCCGTTCGCACTGTCACGGTTCGTACCCATGGGCATGTAGTCGGCCACGCAGAGCGCGTCACCCGTCGCACAGGGCTACGTCGACGCGATTGTATCTCGATGCATTTCCAACGATCTCGCACCGTCGTCATCCACGCGAGCGAGAAGGGGACGCCATCGTCGTTGTAGCAGAACCCGTTCGCGTCGGTGACCGAGACCACAATGGACCAGGTCCTAGACAATGTGTGCATTGTATATTTGTGGACAACATGTCCTACCCGCGGAGAGGGCGGTCGACTCTCAACTGGGTCGAATTGGTCGAGCTGTTGGCGACAACGGCGACGGCCGAGGCGTCGAGCGGGTTGGCGCGGCCGTGGTACAGGGCCCAGTTAACACTTCCCCGCGTCTTGTCAAGGAAGAGCTAATACGTCATCAGAACGTCGTCCGACTGCACTGTTTTGTTGCAAGACGTACAAAGACAGAGAGCCCCGCGGCGGCCGATGGCAACTCGAAGGAAAACACGCGGGTCGGATCGCCGACATCGATGCAGTCGCCGGGCACCGAGCCGTGCTTCAAGCTGGGCGTCGCCGCTTGATGCCGCTTGGAGGTCGGGACGACGTGGACAGCGCAGTCGGCGCCCGTGACGTCGGCGTCGTCGCACGTGAGAAACGTAAAGTCGAGAAAGTACCACATGTTGACGGACGGCCCGACGCCGAACGTGTTGATGGACTCGATGATGTTGCCACCCCACATCGTTGCAAAGTACGTGCCAGTCTACACGTCAAACGACAATAATGTACAACTCGACACTCATCATAGTGTCTGGCGTACTTGGAGTCGGGGATGCTGTTGCTGATGTACGTGTCGTTGGCACTCGTGTTCCACCGCACGTCATAGTCGACTTCGGACGGAATACCATTCTTCTTGAGCAAAAGAACCGGCGGCGTCCGGTCACCAAGCAGACTCAACGAGACGGCAGCGTCGACCTGCACGACACCCGGGGGCACTAGCGACAACATGATAAACGGCGAGGGCGGCGACTCGCAAGTGTACCGTGGAAGGTAAAGTACTGGTAGTTGTCGCCACGCACAAAGCCGTACTAGAAAGCGGGGCGTTGGTGCTACAAACAAAGAAGTACACGTACAAAATGCTCGACCCACTGGTGCGACTGCGCGGCGGCGACGTGCAAGAGTGTCGGCAGAAGGACGACGAGCCACATGACGGGCGACTTGGCAACGAGGCAAGCGTCGTCAATCAAATCTGAAGACAGTGAAGTGGACGTTTTATCGAAACCAACAGCGAGAAGGCTTAAGCCAGCCTTCTCCAAGATCCTATTGCTGCGTCTGGCGGGGCTGAGAAGGCTCGGTAGAGTGCGGGGACAGTAAGATCTTATTGTTGGATAGACTGTGTCAGAATAGCAGATCTCATGCCTACTGCGTGTTCATGCGTCGGAATACGATGGGTCAAGTCTGCCTGCCACCCCATGACCGCTGGACAGACCAACCCAGTGACGTTCTTTCGTCGTTGGAGGAATGTACCTTGGAAGTAATCCACCATCATGCATGCGTTGTTAGCTTGCACCTTTACATGTATGCGTCTGGCTCGACACCGACGCGTGTCGAACGATACGGGTGGCTCGCCTGTCGCCGCTACCGGCCAGGAAACTTGCGTTCTGCATCTTCTTTCATGGGCCGCCCCTTCAGCGCATGTGTCCAGAGCGCATGGCATCCTTGGCCATAGGCGAACGCGACGCTCGTTGGTCCCTGCCCGCGCATCATGGCAAGCTGCTCGGTCGCCCCACCGTCGTGAGCTGCGAAACCCACGTCCACATTCATTTCTAATGTTCAAACCCACATACAAATGTCAAGTCGACGAGGATGAAAAAGAATACATTTTTATGATTGGCCAAAAAGGCGTCATGGCCGCCGAGTGGCCGATAGAGTTTAATTAGTCGCCGGCAGCAGAGCGATGTACGGCAACAACCGCGGCCGGAACAACCAGTTTGGCAACAACGACCGGGGCGGCCGAGGTGGGCGCGGCCGTGGCGGGCGCAACAACAACTACTCGGGCGGCAACCGCTTCGCCCACTGCGAGATCTGCACCTTCCACCTCGACGACCGCTGCCAGCGCGACAACTGCCGGGCGCCCCACTTCCTCAAGCGCCTGGGCATGGCCAGCGGCCACAATGGCACGGTGCGCGACGTCGCGCTCTGGGGCCAGCAGGCCTTCACGGCGTCGTCCGATGGCACGCTGCGCCTATGGGCGCTCGACTCGATGAAGGAGGCCGCGGTCATCCCGCAGTGCAAGATTGAAATCGACACGCTGCCTGTCGAGAAGAGCAAGGTACATCATCCACGTACATCTCCATATCGCTCACAGCTTGCGTGCAGAAGGTGACGGAAGGTGTCTCGAGCTTGCTCCTCGAGAGCCCGTTCCTCTTTGTGGGCTACGAAGAACAGACGCCGGCGATCCCCGACGTGCCTGTCGGCAGGATCCAGTGCTGGAACCTCGAGAACCCGTCGATGCCGCCCATGGAACTTGCGGTACGCTTCCTTCACCTTCTTCTTTTGACGATGTCATCTCACGCGACGTCCTCGACAGCAAAGCGCCGAGATGCCCTTCGCCATGTACCGCAACGTGACGTCGCTTGCGATGGCCAAGCACCCGGCAACCGGCGCGCCCATCATCTTTAGCGGCGGCGCCGACGGCCGCATCGCCTACTGGATGTTTGACGCGGCGACCAACGCCTTTACGTGCGCGGGCGTCATGGAAGGCCACGCGCTCGCAATCACGCGCCTCAAGGTCGTCCAGCTCGGCGCGACGACTGCGTAAACGCGTCCTTTTGGTAGTTTGTCATACTGACGCTCAGTTCGTAGTCTGATCTCGTCGTCGCGCGACCACACGATTCGCATCTGGGACGTGGCCACGTACAAGTGCGGCACGGTGCTCTCGCGAGCGACGGGCGGCCACGCCAACATTGTGCTCGACATTGAGATCTGGGTCAGCAACGGCGAGCCGTTCCTCATCAGCTCGGGCTACGACCAGCAGATCATCGTGTGGCAGCTCTCGCCGCCGTTCGCGGTCATGTACACCGAGACGCTGGACTCGCCGGCGCTGGCACTCTGCACGACCACGGACGCGGTCGACGGCCCGCTCTTGCTCTTGGGCCACGACGTACGCCTCGTCTGTCATATACGTCGTGTGATGTGGACGATGGATGTAGGATGGTTCGATTGTGATCAAGGAGCTGCCGTCGTTCAAGTACAAGACGGTCTTTGGGAAGACCCAGACCAACGTCGGCCACACGGACGCGGTGCGGCGCATCGTGCCAGGGCCAGCGCACACGTTCTTTACGACGTCGGGGGACCGCAAGATGATGGCGTGGCAGGTCACGGGCAAGATTGCCGACATCCAGAGCTAGTCAATAGTCTTGTGGACGCCGTCGTAGCACTTTTCTAATTCTAGTTCTCCTCTGCATGGATCGTTCAACGACTCTACACGCCACATACGACGCATGGGGACTCGTCATCGCACACTTGTCTCGCTTCCACGGTATATCCAGGGCCAAGCTCGTACCCTACCCCTACCCTACCCCGCCCAAGATGGCGGGTCTGTCAAAGGTACCGACTTCGTGACCGAAAAGAAACGCAGATCGGTGCATATTGCAAGCGCTTACGGCGAGCGCTGGACGTGGGCCCACTTGGACGCAATGTACTCGCCAAACGAGGTTTTTTCGAGGTCCAGCGAGCCGTCGACGAGCGTGTTGAGCGTGGATGTAATGGCTTCTTGGGCGATCGCTGTCTTCGTGGCGCTTTGCGGCTTGGGGATGCGCGCGTCGTAGTCGGGGTAGTAGAAGAAGACCATCGAGTAGCGCTCTTCTGATGTGTTTTCGCTTACGACGCGATGGATCGGCGAGACCCACTTGCCTTTCGTGAGCAGCGAGAGGTAGTCACCACCGTTGACGACGATCGTGCCAGGAATGTACGGCACGTCGATCCACTCGTTCTCGTGCAGAAACTGGAGCCCGCCGGTCGGGTCTTGCAGAATCAGCGTCAGGAAGCCCCAGTCCGTGTGCGGGCTCGACCCGACAAAGTTGGTGTCGGACGCATTGCCTACAAGCATGTACTCGTATCACATCCAAAGACACATGGTACGTACGTCGCAGCTTGTCGTAGGGGAAGTAGTGGAAGGCGCGCATGATCGAGATCGTGTCCCCGGCTTTGGCGTAATCGCCAAAGTAAGACTCCGACTGCCCGAGGGCGACCGACATGTGGCGCGTCAGCGTCGTCGAGACGTTCTAGAGACGTATGCAAAGGGGCGTTGCACGAGAGAGAGAGGTACCGCGAGGTCTGTAAAGTAGGACCGCAGCGTGCGCTGGTGCGTCGCGTCAAGCGCACTCGAGGGCGGCCACACGTTGGGACCCTGGAGGGGGTTGGACGGCGCAACGTCCTTGGGCCATTCGTAGCCATACGAGAAAGCCTCTTTGACCTCGATGAGCTCGCTTCCGCTTTCGCCGCCAAGACCGATGTAGCCGCGAATGAAGCCGTTGCCGAGGCTCGGGCGCTCGCAGAGCTTCTTGGCCGCTGATGGCATGCGAAAGACTTCATGCGCCGCCTTCATGACGTGCTTCTCCTTCTCAAGGTTGATGCCATGGCCTACGAGCGAGATACGATATGGCATTGGAGAACCGATGGACGACGACACGTGTACCTTTGATGTAGCAGCAGCCGAACGTCGAGAAGGCGTCGTCCAAGGCAGCGACCGCAGTCGCCTCGTCGCTAAGGTCGATGATCGGCAGCGACATCGTCGACGCATGGCGCCGCGTCTGCCGGCCAAGCACTCGGAGCAGAGTCGTTCGAGCGAGCATGATTCAAGAGTGCTCTCATTTGAACATGCTGGTGGTGGCAGGCGTCGATGCCATTGGCGGATTATAGACCAATCCAAGGAGCTGTATACATCATCACGTGAAACGATTGGCTTGAATTCAACTTCAAGTCGGAAAGATCATCGGCGACGAGATGGCGGTCGCATGGGTGCAGAGCTCGTAGGTGCCAAGCATGCCTCTTCCTCACCCACCATGCTACTCGTACGCGCACAGAGCAGAGGCAAGGTGTATGGAGAGCGGTGCAGGATGCCATGGCGCTGCTGGCAGTCAGTAGCCATGCTACAGACGCTCCAATGACCTCTCGGCTTTCTGCCGACGACCATCGACAGCTCGGATCGCGAGTCGCATCACGTGTGTCAACTACTGAGGGTCTACTGTGCAAAGCACAGCGTGGCTGTCCTTGATGGTGTAGCCGCCGACAACCGAAGGATGAACCACGTCGAGATCAACGTAAATTAAAGTCCACGGACCGTCGGTTCATCTGCTGCTTGCATTATGCAGCTTGAAGAAGTCAAGCAGCAGGCTCCTACATGTCCACAATCAGCTTGGTGAGATGTCGTGAGAGAACAGCGGCGAACACAGGCGCTTCCAGGCGTCCGTGGTTGCGTGCCCTCAACGCCACATCTGTTGCCGCCACCTCCGTGCATCGATTGCATCGGTCCTATTCATTCCGTGCTGCCAAGAGTCCATACGTTTATGAGCCCTTGGTGCTGCTCGTACGTGCCTTGCAGCTACCACGTAGTTCCGCTCTCCTGAACCCTCGCATCAAGGCGAGCTCACAGCACGCCATGTAGCTGTGCGGAGACCGACTCGCCTTGGTTCGGGCCCTGATCATGCCCAAGAGCCCAAGTGTCCTTGGTGTTGTTTCATGAAACGTCATTAGTGTGCAGCCGCCGTAGCGACGCTTAGCACAAGAGATGGCTCATCGAGATGTTCAAGTAGACCAAGTGGTCGGCAATGCTCGCCGTGGCCTTGAACTGGTTGTTGCAGTGCGGATCTTCGCCGTCGTTCGGGTCACAGAACGTGTAGACGCTCGAGTCTTCGGTGTACCAGATCTCTTGCGCGCTGTGGACGTAGCCAAGCCAGTGGAACGGGACGTGGGGCACGAGGTCGCGCCAGTGGGTGACCCGCCCGAGGTACGGGACAATCGAAAGCAAATGCGATACAAAGCCCTTCGTGCCCACGCGCGGCTCGCCAAACGTGAGCAGCTGCGCCACCGAGACGTTGTGCTGCGCCGCGAGGTCGACGGTCGCGATGGCCGCAACCGCCGCGCCGAGCGAGTGGCCCGTCACGATGATCGGCGCGTGTGGGTACGTGGCGCGTAGCTCCGAGAGCGCGGCCCAGAGCTGCTTGGCGATGCTTTTGTAGACCCAATAGAAGCCTTGGTGGACGTACACCTCCGGTAGATCGCTCCATGGCCGTGTCTTGAGGAACGAGAGGTTGTCGAGCCAGTTCTTGGTGTCCATGCTGCCGCGAAATGCAATGACGATGTGGTTCTCCGAGTACCCGACGATGCCCTGGAAGTTCTCCTTGACGTCGGCAATGATGTGCAGATGCTGCGGCTTGGCCACGTACGCGCACGGCGAACAGTTCCACTGGTCCACGTGGTCGTGCTGGCAGTACGAGACGGCGCAGAGCCGCGCGAGGTGCAGCGCATGCGACTCGTTGTATGATCCGCCATGCGCCTTAATGGCCGTGGCCATCGTGGCGAGAAGCACGAGCGGCCACACGGACATGCGATCCTTCGCCTCCTTCGCTCTCTGGATATTGGCTTGGCCCGTCTGCTTGAACCCAACGGCCAATCAGCGGCCGTCGAATCTTGGCCAGAAGAAGACCTAGGTACACCCACGCGGCTGCGTATGACGAGGTGTTTGCGACCAGATGTGCGTCAACATCAATGCATCGGTACTCTCTCCCCATGGGTCGCTATGGGCCAGCGCAACTACCAACACGTGGAGGCAATGCCACCAAGTTGCGTGATTCCAGCCAATGGACTATTGTGCAATGTGGAAATAGTGCCACGTCATGCTGCCGACATTGCACTTTCTTGTCTGCGTCGAATGACACCGTCCTTTCCATGCAAACCGATATTGTGTTCCATGCGTCACAGGCTTCTGCATGTGCGAACCACGCGTAGAAGCGCTGAGATGGCCACCCTACTGTTGGCTATTGCAATCGTAGCGTGCAACTTGCAATAAGAAAAAAGTGAGTGGGATACCGTAAAAGAATGGCCAAGCCGTTGGTAGTGCTCGGTCTCGATGTGGGCACGACCGCGATCAAGTGCTCGCTCACGACGGCCACGCACGAGATCTTGGGCCAAAGCAGCGCCACGATCGCCCATGCGCCTGGCTCGGTCGTCGCCGTCTCGGCCATCCTGCTGGCCGTGCAGGAGGCCCTGCGCCCGCTGATCGGGTTGCTCGGCGCCGCCCAGCTCAACGCCATTGCCATTTGTGGCCAGGTGCGTTCCCGACAACTCCCTGCAAGCGCTCGGCTCGATCGAACTTTGTATCGCGCGTAGATGCACGGTATCGTGTGGTGGTCGGCCGCAGACGTCGCGTCGGCCGTCGCCCACTTTGCCGACGCCCCGCACCCGCTGCCGTGGTCGGAGCTCATTACGTGGCAAGACACGCGCTGCTCGCGAGTGTTTCTTGATACCTTGCAGCAGCGCCGAGCGGCCTTCCTTGTCGGCCCGGAAGTATCGTCGTCGCCATCGCCACTGGCGTCCGGTGCGCCCATGGTCCTCTCCTCCTCGGTATCATATGCTCTTGTAGGCTACGGCCTGGCCACGTACGCGCACATCCTTGCGCATGCACCTGCAACGCTCGAGCGCTTTGACACGTGCGGCACCATCATGGACCTTGTCGCCTTTCTTCTCGCCGGCCTCTCGTCGCCGGCGCACGCTTTCATGGACACGACCAACGCGTTCAGCTGGGGCGGATTCGATCTCGCAACGCTGTCCTGGGACCCTGCCACGTACAACGTCTTGAGCGATCGTTCAACACGGCTATCTTGTTTAGGCTTGACGCCTGTGGGATTCCAGCTCAGAAGCTTCCGCACGTGCGCCTCCCGGGCACCGGCGTGGTCGGTGAGACGTCGGCGCCAGCAGCATCCGTCTTTGGCCTCCCGCTGGGCGTTCCTGTGTACGTGCCCATGGGCGACCATCCGTGCGCTCTGGCCGCCTTGCTCGACGACGCCGCCCTCGACGCGACCTCGGCGCTCTGTACGTACTTCCTCTCGCCTCTGCAACGATATAACAATATGGGATATTGTAGTTGTCAACATTGGAACCTCGGCCCAGCTTGCGTTTGTGCTGGACAGTGCAACGACGAGTCCCAGCGGCGGAAGCTTTGAAGTGCGCCCGTACTTTGACGCGCAGCAGATCGCAGTCGTCGCTGCCTTGACAGGGTACGAGCCATGTATCATGGGATCGTTTTGAGTGACGAGGGGTAGGGGCAACGTCTTTGCGGCCTTTGTCGCGTCCGCCATCGAGTGGACGAGATGTCTGTGTCCGTCCGCGACCCTCTCGCCGAATGACGTGTATGCCAATGTGATTGCAGCGGCCAAGCGCGATACGACGCTCACGTGCCGCCCAACGCTACTGGGCGAGCGCACGCCGGGCTTGGAGACGGTACACCACTGATGTTGCTTCTGAAAACAGTTGAAACGTTTTGCTTAGGGCATCTTGTCGCAGCTGGCGATGGACAACTGGACGCTGGGCGACATGAGCGCAGCGATTGCCAAGGGGATCGTAGACAACCTCTTTGAGTTGCTCCCCGCGCACCTCCAAGCGTCGCTTCGAACGCGCTGGTACCACTTGATACTTTGATAGTTTGCGTTGTTCAATGCTTGAAACACTGTACCCTGTAGCGTGGTAGGCAGCGGCAATGCGCTCGTGCACAATGAGCTCCTGCGCCACTATGTACAAGAGCGCACGGGCACGACCTTGCGCGTGGCAGCGAGCAGCGACGCTGCCGTGGGGGCCACGCTGGTCGTATGGCGTCACCTGACGTCGTCGTAAGGATGCCACGACATGGAAATCGAAACAAATATGCAGCAATATACATATTGTCTGTTAGGCAGCAGACACAATGTACATGGTGGCAAATTTCTGAAACCGGTTCTCGACCGAGACGTACGGGTCCGGGTTCTTGTGGCACGCCATGGCGACCATCGTTTCTTGAAAGGCGTCAAACGTGATCTCTTGCTGCATGAGTTCGGTCTTGGACATGGCGCGCGCACGGACAGCGTGGCCGACAACTTGGAGCGCGCGCTCGTTCGTAAATACATCGTCTTCGAGCTACGAGAATACACAAATTTTGCCTGTTGCAATAGTCCTGAAATGATGGATATGTATACGCTGCGGTCCGACACAAACTTCATGAGGGTATACGCCGTCATCTTGGTCGTCTTGGTTTTTTCTTGCCTTGGTCCGCCGAATACTACCAGAATTGTCTGCATAGCACCAGACCTGTCGAATAGGATTGTGTCCGAGACGAACCCGCGTGAAGAGGGCCTTCATATCGTCCTGGTACTTGATGAGCATGTTGCGCAGCCCCGGCGACTCCATCTAAACAATCCAATCTGCATGCTGATATCTGGAAACGCAGCGTCTGGCGACCTGTTTTTGGAACTTTTCGGCGTCGTTCTGGTACGCGAATGGCAGAATCTGGTTGTCGACCAGAAGACAAAACGACTCGGAGAGCGCTGTGGTTTTGTACGGGCCACTATAGCGCTTGCGAGCGATGCGGATGAGCACTTCAATAAACTCCGCGGGCAGCAGTGCGCGGTTGACGTCGACATTGACCGCATCGCCGTCGCCATTGTTGTCGGTCTTCTAATAATGTGACGCATCATCCTCCAAATGCCCCGGCATCCAGTCGAACCGTGTCGGTCACGGCGGCAAAGATGGCTTCCATGTCCTTGAGAGCAAAGTTGGAGTCGGGAATGTTGCACTCCTACGCGATACGTCGAGACTGTGTCGGGGTCCACTGGAGTAAGAATACCGAGAGCAGTTCGAGAAGACCGCCGTAGCTCATGACGCTGACTTCGGTTGTGGCGCCACGGCTCGCATAACTGCCGGCGTTTGTCCAAAGCGACGTGTGATAGAAATGTTGTGTACCTGCGGTAGATGCGCGAGAGGTCGTTGTAGACGCTATTGAGGTAGCCTTGGAGCATGTCGATTTCCCTAATCCAATGCCACGTCACTCGTTGTATAGTACAATAAATGAGAGCAGTATACCACTTGGCGTCTTCGTGGTCGAACAGAATCGATCCCATGCGGTCGCGGGGCACGAGGAGAAAGCCGTCGTTGTCCGCAGTCTTTTCGGCGGCGACCATAAACCCCGACTTGCCGTGGGCCATCATCGAAAGCGTTAAAAAGCACTTGCGCAAGACGATGCGGGAGCTCCTCCACCACACGACGTGGCCGTCGTGGGCTTTCTTGACCTCGGTATCCAGTCTCTTTTTCATTTCAAGCAAGTGGGCGAGTGCCAGCTAAATCGTGACAATGAGTGGCTTCCAATATTTCCATCAATCCATAGGGTGATTGATACCTTGATCTTTTTCGAGACGTCGCTGGTCACGTCGTTGGCATCTGCTATTTCTTTTAACTCGCGCCACTTTGCGCTACGCAGTCCATGCGTATCGTGGGATCGTGGGATCGATGGGGACATAATGTACCGTTCGAGCGTGAGCTGGCGCATCAGCGTATTGCAGTGCTCCGTGTGGTTGTCTTCGACGACGGGCGGCGACGTGCAGAAGAGGTATCCAAGCAGCACCAAGTTGAAATCGCTATCGCCGGCGAGAATGTCCTGGGCTTTCACGAGCTACACGTGTCGTCGTTCTGTCAAGTGCTCCGCACGGCGAGGGATGGTAGGACCTCGCAGGGAAGCCACATGGCCTGTCCAATCGTGTTGAGCATGAGCTCGAGTCGTCGCTCGTCGTCACTCTCGTTGCTCATCAAGGTCTACCGAACGTATCAACCTATCAATTTCGGGTGTTAAGCACAACAGTACCACGTAGCGCTCCGCCGCTTGGTCGGTCAGTGCGACGCCGTTCTCCCGCTGCAGTGCGGGCTCGAACGTCTTTTTTCGAGGCCGCACTACAAGGAAAATGTCCTTTTTGTAACAGGCAATTGTCATATTGTACAATTGCACATGGCGTCGTGGAGGATGCGCGTCACGACAGCATACGCTTTGCCATCCTACACGCAGCATATCGTATCGGATATCCACTCGGCGAGCTACTTGAAGATTGGTGTTGCAGTTGGAGATGCGCGTCGCCTTGAGCCAGTCGGGTGGAGATTTCTTGAGCAAGAGATAATTGACCTAAAAACATAAAAATATAGTACAAAATATGTGAATGAAACAATAATCCAGTGGCCACGTACCCACTGCATGAGAATGCGCTCGGCGCGATCCACGGGGGCCGAGCTGATGGGCGACACTTTTTTAGCTTCTTTTTTGGCTTTTTCGCGGTCTTCCCGGCGCATGTCTTTCGTGAGCTTATGCACCTCGCGTCAAGATCGTCTCTCGAGCGCATCGAGGTACTACCTTGAAGCTGGGGTCGTACAAGAGTGGGTTTTCCATCAAATCGAGGGAATGGACCAAGTCATTGGACAAAATGTCGTGGAAGTATTGACGTCCGTCGTAGAGCGTAAATTCTTCCACTTGGCGCTACCAGACGGCATAGAAAGTGCTTATATAGACAATAGTGTACCTCCATTTGCGAAATAACTTCGTGGGACATTTGAAAACACACTTTCTTGTAGTCGAAGAGCTCGGCTTGGAGCGCCGTGAGCATCTCAGCCTTCTCCGCTTTGGCTTCCAGCGACTAGGCACCTCCTCTCAGCATGCATAACAAGATGCATCCATGCAGTGAACGCACGGCAAAGCTGGCTTGCATAATGGCCAGCTGGCCCTTGATCGCAGCGAGCTCCTTGTTCTTCTCCACAACGCGCTGCTTCTCTTCTTGAATGAGGCCGTGCAACTTGGCCATCTTGTCTGCGTCCAAGTGCGCGCGCACTTGGTGTTCTTGCTTGAGGTCGGCGAGCGTGTCTGTAAGCGACTGGAGCTCTGCTTCGAGCGCCACGACACGCGTCTATCCAATCGTGCACGTTTACAAGTGCGCGAACACCACGTGCACGCCTCGTACATGTTCGCCTTGTGCATACACGAGCGCACCGTAGGCGCGTCGATCGTTCGCCTGGATGCGCCACGAGCTCATGACGCGCTTGAGCCATTGGCGTTCGACGAGCCGGAGCGCATACTGGCGGTGCAGCTTCTTCTGTTGGTAGTAGAACTTCCACATGCTAGTACATACGATGGAGTAAGACTCGGAGAGATGCAAGGAATGCGAAGTAGTACCCAAAGACCCATTGCGTGATCGTATCGGAGAGATGGCTAAACGCCCGCGACGTGGCTTTCACAAAGAGCCACTCGACACCCTTGGCGAGGCTCTGCTTGTACTTGGTCATATCGTTCTTCTTGCAGTTGGAGAAGCAGTGGAGGCACATCTCGGGAAGGCCGCCACAGCCGAAACAGCGCGTCGAAAAGGCAGCTTTGGGGCGGCATAGCACGTCATTCAGCTCGCCGCCGCATGTTGTTGGCTGGAGCACCTCGCCACGCATCGACGAACGGCTAGGCAGCGGCGACAGTGTCGCGGGTGGCATGGTTGCCGGGCGCGTTAACGTCTCGACATCTGGCGACTCTTTGAGCCGGCGGAGACTTATAGTCGTCGCCTTGCGCAGTCCATGCTTCGCCTCGGGCATCGTGCGACCTGTCTGCGAGTCGTAACGCTGAGTAACCGCGTCCCGCCAACTTGTAAAACCGACAATGCACACCGCCCGATGGCGCGAGCGACCTCACGATTGGTTGCAGCCACCGCTACAGTCCGCGCTGTCGCGAGATGGTTCTACTTCTCTAGTTTGCTAACGTCCATGGACGATCAACAAACTTGGTATACGGCTCTAGAGGAACGCGACCCGGAGCCGCGAGAGTCGGAAACGACGCGCCGCCTTTGATGCGCGTTCACTCGCTTTTCCTTCCAGGTGCGTGATGGCTTGTGCGACGTAGAGGTCATCAGCATGCTTGACGAGCAGAGCGGTGGTGACAAGCGTGAGCTTCGTCTCCCAGCAAGCGCGCTTTGCCGCCGCCGCTGCAGCTACCCTTGGACGTTTTGAGCCGGAGCCGGTCCAGACGGCGTTGATGCGGCCTGCGCTAACGCGACTGTGTGCATATGCCTGGCTACGCGCGTCCCGTCGGCTCTTGGGTGGCGCGACGGACGCTCAAGGTGGTCGTTCGTCTCAAGGGAATACAAACAAATCTGTGTTCTTGGTGTACGTCTGCTCGAGCGGGAATCCTGCGGCGCGCATCGATGTCACTTGCTGCTCGACAAGAGTCGCTCGAGCCCGCCTGCGTGAGCGGGCGTGTAAGACGAGATCGAGCCGAGAACGGCGCGTGGGAGGAGCGGCGAGGACCACTCGGACAAGCGTTGCTCGCTGTGACCGATGGTCGCATACAGTGGTGGGACACGGAGTGTGAACCTAGCCCACGTCAACACCACGACGCCAGGACAAGGCGATGTGTGTTTGCAAGATTAATCTTACGGGAAAAGCCCGTTGATATAGGACTGTACAGCCGTTGGCAGCAGTCAGTCGACGTTGCTTGGCTGCCACTTTCCGTTCTGCTTTGTAGTACAGTAGCCGGTGTGTCGGGAGATCGGCCTCCCCCTGACTAGTGTTGACGTTTTACTTGTTGACAAAAGCGGTCGCGTCACGCAAGAAACAGCATGCACGACGAGGCGCAACAAACCAGTAGACGAGTCGCTACGTCATGGATCGGCGCGTTCTGGAGCGCATGGTACTCGTCCTTGAGTGCTGCTACGTCGGCGTCTTCGACGTGGGCCTTGAGCGCCGCATTCGTCGCCCTCGTCCTTTGCTCCAAGCCCCATCATGCGTGCATCGACTCTCATCATGAGAGTGGAACGCGGACACCACATAAAGTATCTATCTCACATGCCGAGACGTGGTCGCCAGTGATGACGCATGCGCCGAGGCTCGCAACAACTGACGACGTATATGACGTAGGGGCAAATAGGGTCAGCGGCAACCTTTGGAGCGGGTGGGAGACGACAAGCCAGACAACCCCGAGCCTCCTACAAGCGTAGGACGTTCGAAAAAACGCGTGGCAGCGTGCCACGTATGCTGTGGGCGTGCCGTTTGGATCTGCGTCACGTGATTGGCTATAACTAATGGATTTTGACCAATGCGCGCGCTGGCATATTTCCAGAACGCCGGTAACGGCCCGAAACAGCAGCAACTTTTACGCGTTGGAGCCAGCAAGATGAGCGCCCGGAAGCCGCCGAGCCTCGCGCTGCAGCCCGCGCTCGTCCAGGTGCATGGCCGCCCATGGCTCCGACGCGCCTCATGGCCATGCGTAGGACAACATCCCGTCGGAGGTCGTGCCCAAGCTCTGGGTCGGCTCGATCCACGCGGCCTTCAACTTTGAGGCCATCAAGGAGCGCAAGATCACGCATGTGCTCAACGTCTCGGGCACGGTCGCCACGTACCCGCAGGTCGACCACCCGTCTTGGCCTTGGCCATGGGCTCATGGCGCTGCTTTGTTGCAGGACTTTACCTACCTCACGATCGACCTCCGCGACAAGGAGTACACGAACCTCCTCAGCTGCCTTCCGATCACGACGGTCTTCCTCGAAGCCGGCATGCAGAACGGCGGCGTTCTCGTTCACTGGTACATTCGCTGCTGCTTGCTAGGATGTCTTGCGACGTTATGCGGCGTAGCGCGGGCGGGCGGTCCCGGTCGCCGGCGATCGCGATGGCTTACATCATGCTCACGCAAGGCTTTCCGTACGCCGAGGCCTTTGCCAAGCTGCGGTCCGTGCGCTCGGTCGTCGCGCTCAACACGGGTACGCACGCTGTACGCGGATCCTGCCGCAACGAGAAATACATAGGCTTTGAGGACCAATTGCAGTGCTTGGAGAAGGCGCAGCTCGATGTCTTCAAGGCCCACCAGCTGTTGCTGCAGACAAAGATGGTGCGGGCGCGGGCCCGGCGCGCGCAGCACCTGCCCATCGAGCTCGATCATATCAAGAAGAGCGCCGAGACCGACAAGCGCATGCTGCTGGGCATCGTTCCGAGCGGCTTTTACCTCACACGGCCGTCGTCGCCCAAGACGCAGCACTTTATCCCGCCGCTTCGGTCCATGGGTCACGTCTACGGCTGCATCGAGTGCGGCACGCCGCTCTTTTGCACGGCCAACGTCCTCAAGCACACGGCGAGCACGGACGCCGCGACGTGGACCGTCGCGGTCGACCGCAAACGCGCCGCCAGCTGTCCCGAGGTAGACAATATTGTGCATCATCTTGACGTAGACCAATGGGATTCGTAGACGCCGCGCGGCCGCCAGCAGGTGCCGTCGCGGCCCTTTTCCAAGGACCCGGATGCGAGTCCGTTTGACGATGACGACGACGACGAAGTGGCGAACCGACCCGACGCGATCGCCGACCAGCGCGTGCTCGAGTCGATGCTGCGGGACGTGGCGAGCCTCGAGGTCGTCCCGTCGTCGTCGTCGTCGTCGGCGATCCACGTGAGCTCTCCGACCAAGTCGGTGTCGTCGCGAAAAAAAATATGGCGCGCATGGTCCAAGCAGTTTAGCTTCCGTCTCACGAGTCCGACCAGTAATGACAGCAGCGACAAGACCAAGATGACGCCGTCGACACCGGATACCGAGCTGCGTACGTGGCGCGCGCAGCTCAAGGAGCTGGAAAAAAATGGCTCCCGATCCCAAATGTGAGTTTTTATGAGTTGAAGCGACGATGGTTTTACGGGTGTGTAGACGACGCGTGTCGGCCGTCATGGGCGACGACGAGAAGCAGTTTGCAGCGCTCTCCAGCGGCTGCGACCTGTGGTATCTCGAGCCGCTGCGGTGGTTTGGCCCCATGAGTGCTGCCACCGGCAGCGTCAAGTGCCCGAAAGAAGGCTGCGCCCACATTGTCGGGCAGTGGCAGTGGGATGCGACGACCTCCAAGTACGATGATCGATGAAGCGAGGCTCCAACACGACATCATGGCATAGGTGTCTCTGTGGCGGACTGGTGCACCCAGCGTTCACCGTCAAGCAGTCAGCCGTGAAGTTGCTTCCGATGGCAACGCGGCTGCCACCGACACGCCCCGAGCGTCAAGAGACAACCAACTAAGGTGGCTAACGGACGTTGCGAGCAGATCGCTGTAAACAGTAATTGTCTGCTTGATGGTTGGTATGCTTGTTAAACGATGGAAAGCTACGTGAGGAGTGCATGGGTTGATGGCTGGCACGAGCAACGAGACCTCGAAGGCACCAGACAACAGTCTTACACGCTGTCAACCCTGCCTGCATCATTAAGGATATGACGACTGACAGCCAACGCGATCGGTGTTGTTACCGCGAATCGCGCTGCAGATTCTGAACTACACGCCTTGGTTGCTGCAGCGCTGGAGGGTAGCTCCGATGACGCGCTCCAATACCATATCCTTCCAGAGCTGCCATCAACGACGACCGGGTGCTGTGACGGTAACCATCGCCCGTGCAGCCCTGAGCAAGTGGCTGCCGACCCTCGTAGATCGCAGAGGCACGAAGTACTACGTTCCCGGGACTTGGCGGCAGACGTCAAGGACTATCTCTCGACGTGTCATGGCCTCCTAGCGCTGACTATGAGGCACCAGCCAGGAAACATACGCCAAGGCACGTTAGACGCCGTCACCATGAAGTGCCGCAGGTCGAGCTGCGTCAATTCGTTAAGCTTCTCGATCATGTTGGACGGCAAACTCATCGTGCTATCTCGTGTCATTTCGTAGACCAGGAAATAATCACATTGGGCCGTGTACCTCGTAGCACATGGCGCTGCCAGCTGCGTCAGAGCTGGAACGACTTTAAAACCGAGGTCAGCATCAAGTTCCAAAAAAGAGGGCTGCGCACATCTTGTAGGACAGCACCGAGGAGCGCTTGAGGTGCTCTCAGGTCACGGAGAATCTTGTTGGTGCGCTGCAATTGCCGCAGTTGACGACGCGCCTCTCGGATGTGCTAGAGGTGCTTCCCGAGCTCGTTGACGCAAGCCATCATCTCGGCGACCTCTGGGTGAAGCCGCAAAGGCTTGGATAGCGCGCCCGGTGCGTCTCACTAATGTCACGCGCGCAGTCTACCGGGGCACGGAGTCGCCGACATCCCGTCGTATGTCGAGGAGACCATGGGCCCGCACGCCGATGCAACGAAGGTTGTCGCTTGCGTTTTAAACTTGAAACATTGATACGTATCCATTTGGGGTATGTGGCGCCATGGCAAGGCGTCGCGTTGTCGGCAAAAGGTCGATGCTGATAGCCGTACGTCGTTGAATGGTAGAGTGCGACACCGTGAAGAAAGCATGTACTCGCAACAGACAGCGTATTGTTGTTGGTCGTCTCGTCCTAACCTCCTCACCTCGGCGACGGCATGCTACATGTGTGGGTGCTACAGTTTGGCCTTATCCCCACAAGTGCAAGGACCTCTCTATCATGGGATAGTGGCAGGAGGTGCAGCCTCCAAAGATGGCGCAGCTTTCTTCTCTCTGCCATGTGCACATCGCATACAAACGTAGGCTCTGCACCTTGTCAAATGGGAAATCAATGGTGATTCAGAGATCCAAGCGGCATGTATGACGGCGATCGGAGCGTCGACCGAGCGCGCTGACGACGAAGTTTTCCGCCGCCGCTGGCAGCGACCTGGTCACAAATGGGACGTCGTGGACCAGGGCCAGCGCCCGGTAGATCGCGCGCTTCCCCAGCTCGGCGTTCTCGCGCGCGATGGTCTTCAAGTCGAGGCTGTAGAGTTGGCGGCCCGCGGCAACGAGCTCTGGGAGCACGAAAAACACATCCAGCAGGCGCATCGACAATGTGAGGGCTCTCAACCGCGGCACTTGCAGCACGCCCGAAAGGACCGAGGCACTGTCCTCGCGAGTCAGATACTGATCGTCGACATGAAGGCTTGCAATGCACGTCGTCGCAAGCATCTCCATGAGCAGCTCCATCGACGACGAGAGGCTGCAATTGCGAAGCGTGAGATACGTCAGCGCCGGGACCGACGACAAGCCTTCAATCAAAGCCTTTGTGTGGGCACCGTTGACCCCGTGGACGGTGAGCGACTGCAGCTGCGACAGCATGGGCGCCGCGGCCGGGCGTGTCGCCAGCGGACCAAAGCAGTTGCAGTCAAGTTTCTGGAGCTGCGTGCGGCCGACGGCGGTTGCGAGGTCCGTCACCGTTGCGTTGTCGACAACCTCGTTGTCGCGCCCCTTCCACTCCAAGGTCTTCAGCGACACTGGCAGCGTGCGACCGTGGAAGCCACCGAAGCTAGGAACATTGACGATGATGAGGTCTTCGAGGGTTGTGTTGCCTTGCAATGCATCGCAGAATGCAGCGGCAGTATCGTCGTCCGTCGGCGCGACGTCCACCACGTAGAGCGTCGTCGCCGGCGCCGTCGAGAGCCATACGGCCAAGAGATGCCCGAGTCGCGGCGCTGCAGTCCTCGCCCCCAGGTTTATGCTTACATGCTTGAGATGCGGGTGGGTGAGTACTGCGAGCACATCGTTGACCTCGTCGGTGAAATTCAAAGCGTCGTTCGCTGAATAGGACATGGCATCGATAGACACTCGGCGCAGACGCGGGCAGTGCTGCAAGAGAAGTCTGGCGATCGTGTGGCCTTGGCCATCGACCGCGCTGTAGTCGTAAAAACACAGCGAGACGCCGACGAGCGCAGGGCCGAGGACGCCGACGAGCGAGGCCAGTGGCGCCGCTTTCTGGATCGGGTGCGCGATTTCAATGCGTGGGCGCAGCGGCAGCGTCGCCGCGAGACGCGCCAGGACCCAAGTCGGCAGCTCCGTGTTGGTCACTGCAATGCGCGGCCACTCGGCTCCGACCCATGATGCCATGGCCGTGTTGCAGTCGAGGAAGGCCGCGAGTGCTGGCGTCCAGAGAGATCGTGGCACGGCTCCGAGGAAGCTCTCAAGGTCCTTCCGGCTACTCGAGCACGTGGCTATGGCCTCGATCACGTGCGGAAGCGCGAGTGCGTCGGGCGGCGTCCATCGACCCGCCTTCTGCTTGCGCTCCGTCATCGGACCGCTAGTTTGTGCTTCCAGCTTCGACAATACGTATCCGGATGCGCGATCGGATTGGCAGAAAATCGGCTGACATTACAGCCAATCCAACGTGACCAAACACAGCGTCGGTCGCGCCAACTCTGTACCGGTGAGTCTTGATACCCACGCTTGTACTTTGATTCCAGTCGTGAAGTTCAAGCTGATGAAGCTTAACGACGTCTCCAAGAGGGCTGCATTGCTGTTCCGTTTCAAAGTTGCCGTCAGCAAGTGAGTCAAAGTTCGGCTACCAGCTGCGAGATCAACATGCCTCCATCCGACGCGGAAGTCGTACATGGTGAAGCTTGCGATGGACGTCCCTGGTTTCTCACAAAGAGCAACTTGTCGACGCCATCCACGGTGCAAGGCGTTGGTTATCATGTTGGGCTGGAAGCATAGCAAGATCAAAAGCAGCTCAAGAGTCAAAAATTATCCGTCTTGGATGGCGTCTTTATCGACTTGTTAGAGCTCGTCGTGGCGTGCCGACGCACTTAGAACCGACTGCAGGTGGCGCACGTACGCTGCCGAGCACGCAGCCGGCGTCGCAAAGCCGATGCTGTAGACGCACAGAGACCCTTCTTCGACAAACTTGACGTAGTTGCTCGACGCACACTCCATCTGCACATGCACGCGCCGGGGCGCCTCGCCGCAGCGCTCGCCGTGGTCGTACACTTGGACGCGGATGGGCGACGGGTCGGCCTCCAACGGCGTCGGTGCCTCGTCGTACAGTGCATGCGGCAGGCCAACGTGCCTCGGCGGCACGTCGGTCGTCCAGTTGGCCCACACGCCGAGCAAGATCGGTCGTTGCTCTTCGCGCTCCGTCGGCGGCGTGATATGCGTCTCGCCCGCCTGCGCTTGCTTCTACATAAGTACTGGATTGTATCAAATGGGACAGAGGCAGGTATGTATGCACCTGTGCGAGCCGCCACTCATGGTACGCAGGCTCGGTCTGCGTCACGTTGAGGAACGGGCAGAGAACCATGACGTACGTCCGTGCGACCGTGTTGGACGTCCCGCCTTTGAGCGCCTTTTCGTTCACGGTATACTCAAAGCACTGCCCGACGAGCGATGCGAATGCGTCTTGGTCGCCAAAGTCGGTCTCAAGGAGATTCCCATACACGTACTGGTAGTACTGGGCTTTTTGTTGTAGGTACTGCAGGTACCGGAACTGCTGCTGGTCCTATATCTTGGATGAGTCCATTGCATGTGTTTAAATCCAAGGACAAGTTGTACCTCGTGGGTCGGCTTGGCGTTGGACGACTTGAAATGCGTCTGTATCGCATCCATCTCGGCGGCTACCTCGTTGGCCATGGTCGCCCAGTGCGCAACGTCCGTTGCAAACTGGGCGCGGGCGGCGCCGGCGCCGGCGATGAGCGTGGCCTTGGCGCGCACGCCTGCTTCGACGTCGGTGAGAACGGTCTCGAGGCGCTGGCGCACCGCACTGGCGTCTGCGTCGCACGTATTGACACAGCCCATTGAGGATGGCTCGTCGGACCCGTCGCAGCAGTCGCAGACGCCGTCGTCGACAAACGCGGATGGAAGCACTTTCGCCGACGTGGCGCAGGTGAATTCGCCCGAGCCACACGCACCAGTGAGCAGCTCGTCGTCGGCGCTCGGGCAGTCGCAGTAGCCATCGTTGAGCAGCGACGCATGTAGGCGTGCCAAGCATGCCATGCCATCGTCGACCTCGACCTCGATCTCGTCGGCGCCGCCAAACCAGTCGTCGTCGTCGTCGTCATCGGCAGCATCGTCATTGCCATTGGCGCTGGCTAGCGCTGGGCGAGCGAGGAGGCAGCAGATGCAAACCACGAGGAGCAGCAGGAGCAGCGGCCGCCGAGTCTGCCTCACCGTCATCGTGGTTGTCGGCAATGCCACAAACCACGCTCTGATTGGCTGGAAAGATGGAGCGACATAATTGGTTGAAATGCATAACGCCCGGTTCGATGATTGGCCTGTGCGTTCGAAAAGGTGATTGGAGGCTCAATGGATCTTGAGCAGTCGCGCCCAGACGTCTACGGCCCGGTCTCCAAGACTCGAGTCCACGAAAACACGAGCAATCGTAGTCCATACTGTTTTTGGCAAAAGTACAGGTATGCACGATGTACAGTATTGTCTATTATCGGTGTGGGCCCCACCGTCGACAAAGAAGCAGACAACGACCAGATACATGTATATATGTAGTCGAGGCAAGACACCCGCCACCCAGCTCGGTCCTGACGGAACTAGCATCATCGCTAAAACTTGGCATGTTCCAACCTATGGTTTGAATCCATGAAGACACGTTCACGCTACCACCGGCTTGTTCGCATCGGGCGGTGGCTGGCACCACACGCACATTCTGGTGCACATATCCATGTCCAAAATACAGTTTTAATCCGCGAAAATGGCAGTCGCATCGGGATAACGCAGTGTACCAAGGCGTTCGAGGCCAGGTGTCTACGGGTGCGATCGTGCACATCCCAAATATCGAATCAGGTCTTCACGCCCAAGGCAGTTGGCGTGCTGATCGAAGCCGCATGAAGTCACTCGCTCGTCTCTTGGGTGGTTCGTTACTGTCACCAGCGCAAGGCAACTGCCAGCGTGGGCCGGGCCAAGCACGGCATATACTTTATGCCGCCCCTTCGTTCCTTACATCGTACGCTGTCCGTTTGAAGAATAAACCGCTTCCTCGTCTAGATTCCAGCAGGGGATTTGGCTGTGGGACGCGGGGGGGCGTCGACCACATGGGGGCCGTCACCCGGGGCGCAGTGGCCAATCGAGCGGCGATGCTGCCTGCGACGACGCGAGCATTGGCTGGTGGCAGCTTGAGGAGCCGCTGCGCGCCTATCACAGGGACCAACCTCAACCCTGCAATTCGATTGTCATGGGTTCGCGTAGCTAGGTGGCGTAGTGAGTGCTTCTCGTTTCCGAAAAGGGGGTGTTTTACCAAATTGTATTGCTCTTTTTTGTATGTGCTATCGACCCAAAACACCCCCTTTTCGGAATGAGACACGTGCAAAGTGGCCGTCTCTGGCTGCTGGTGATTGCACAGCGATGCCAATCACTTTTTATTGTGTTTTCTTAGTAACAACAAATCGGAATAAAACTTTGCATAAAAATTCGATTCGTCATCACCTTGGATTTGGCCCCAGCTGGGCCCCCATTCGCGTGGTGCACGGCCTCTTCGCACCCGACGCTCCTGACGCCGTCGCCCACATGACGACCACCATTACCCGTTTCCTTCTCTCACGCCGGTCGTCCGCCGCCTGCCGCCCGGCGTCGCTCCGAGGCCTCGATCTCTTCGCGCCTCCCCGCCTCTTTAGCTCGTCTCGCAAAATGCCGCCGCAGCAGTCGTCTCTCTTATCGCCGCTGCCCATGCACCACACCATCATCTCGACGCCACCGCTCTCGGCCACCCTCAAGAGCCCGACAGAGACATGCCACATTGACATTGGCACGCCGAGCTTGCTCGCCGCGACCACCGAGGTCAAGCCGTTGCCACGGGAGGGCCTACCTCGCTGGCCAGGTCTCCGGACGCCGACGGGGTTTCTCCGGAGCCTCGATTGGTTTGGCACGATTGTGTTTGCGACCAGCGGATCGCTCACCGCGGCCATGTGCGGCGCCGACCTTCTTGGGTCCATCATCATTGGCACCATCACGGCCGTCGGCGGCGGCACGCTCCGCGATGCGCTCGTGCTCAACAAGCAGCCGTTCTGGGTCGAAGAGTGGGAGTACCTCGTCATGAGCGCCCTCGCCGCGACCACCGCCTTTTACTTTTGGGGCGACATGCGACCGGGCCAAGAGATCGTGCCGGGCTCGGGCCTCACGCTCAAGTCGGCCGACGGCGGCGAAGGCACGGCCATGGAGTGGGGCGATGCCGTCGGTGTCGGCGCGTTCGCGGTCATTGGCGCCATGAACGGCATCCGTGCGTCGTCACCGATGCTCGTGAGCGCGCTCTGCGGCATGATGACGTCGACCTTTGGCGGCTTGACGCGCGACACCTTGCTCGGTCGACCGGTGCGCATTTTGCACTCGTACTCGGACGTGTATGCGACGGTCGCGTTCTCAAGTGCGTGCTTGTACCTCGCGCTGCGCAAGGCCGCGCCGCGCTACCAAGGCTGCCGCATCTTTGCAGCGATCTGCCTCGCGGTGTTCCTCCGCGAACAAGCGTGGACGCACGGGTGGCGCCTCCCGTTCTGGGCCGCCAACTCGCAGCGCGTCATGATGACGTCGAGCGACCCGCGCGCGAATGGGACGTCGCGGGCGTAAAGGAGTGTGTCGTGTTGCAATAACTTATTGAGGATGGCGTCGCTATTGTACATGGTAGTATATGTGGGCGTCGATAGCATATGTGTAAGGCACGACAACAATAAGACGATAAGACGAATGAAACGGGATCGGGTTCTGGGGCACACGACCAGCATACATAGTACCGGTAGGGTGCCTGTCTTTGGGAGACGGAAGAAGCTACATGTGACGAGGCGGCCATCGCGTATTTTTCGCGTGCGTGCGGCTGGCGCCGGTACAAAGAATGGACGGCTGGGACGCGTTGGCGTTTCAGAACGGCCGCCTGTTTCAGATCTCGTTGTTGAAGTGAGTCTATTTAGATATAATTTACACTGAACTGGATATGGTGGTGGACTATCGATTCCAAGGTGCTACGACGAGCCGGCCGCCGAGAGGCTTAGCCGAGCGGGAGCGTGGCGTGTAAACGGCACATGCCGGAACAAAGTTTCAGATCTCGTCGGTCGCGGAAAAATGTGGTTGGTTCCGAGACCAGACAAGCATCTGCCCACAACGCTCGATGCCGCAAAAAAGGCCAAGTCTCAAATACAGTTGCAGTAGCCGAATCTATTACCGCTGCGTCACGCAGCACCAAGCACCCTGATGTCGCTGCTGCTTGGTGCGCGGGATATCGTCTGCAAGAGACAGATGATACGGTACAAAATTATACATCCCACACCCGCAGTCCTTTGTGGTGTCAAAATAACTTGTACGGGTCTGTGAGTGCGCTGACAAGCAGAGAGAAGCTCGCGCCTGGTGCGCTCTCGAAACGAGGGCTGCTCCAGCCAATCGGATCGCATTTGGACGATCCATTACACAAGATATCGGTGTTCCGCTCGGCAGGGAGCGAAGCTAGCACGTTGATCGTCAACCACGCACCATCGAGCTCGTGGTCGCTTCGTTGGCCAGTCGTTTGTTCAAGTTATCCGGTACCCATAATACACCCTCACGTAGAGGCTTGAGGACATCGGGACATCGAGTACCGGTGCACGCCGCGGGTGCCTTCAACGCCGTCGGCAGTTGCTTCAACGTCAAGCTCACTGCTGCGTCTTTGTGCGAAGCGAGCGTCCAGTTGGCCTGTCTCGCGGCGCGTGTTTGCGCAGTCAAGCGGGTTGCTCTCTTTCTTCGCGCCATACAGTATGTAGTATATATTACACCACGAACAATATCTTGATGCTTCTCTTGCACGTTGTCCTAGCGTTGCACTCGCCCTGGGTGACGAAAGGAGATGCGCGGTAGAACCGATCCGACGCGCTCACCTAGGTTCGACTTCAAGCACGCAGTGTCGGACACTGGCTGCACGTCGCGACGCGTCGAGCTGCCGTGAACCATAAGCGATCGACGCGAGGGTCCTTGCTGCTTGGCACACAAACAGCAACCTCAGAAGGCAGCACCTGCCGAACTGACGCGGCCATCGTGGCGTTGCAGCGGCCACCTCGCATTGACATAGATACTGCGCAGGCTACTTGTGGCGCGTCGCGGACACCGTTAGGTAATCCTCCCAGTACTGTTTTACTACATGTAGAACCGAGGCCAGAAGTGCCCAGTCACACGGCGCCAAAGACGCTCGTCGACGGCGCCGCTCCCCGTGCTTGCCCAATTTCCGATTCAGCGCCTCTCTCCACAGTGCCCACACGATTTGCGCCCATATTTTGCGACACAAGAGCGATGGCGACGCAGCAATACCTCCTCGACGCGATGCGCTCACCGTTCTACGACCCGGAGCTCGCCAAGACCAAGCCGTCGCCAAAGCCGAGTCGCATCTGGCGCATTCCGCCGCTGCCCAACCCGCTTCGGACCCCAAAGCGCAGCGACGAGCCGATGCCGACACCCAGTCGCGCCAAGCGCCATAGCGCTGCCGTGCAGCCCGAGTCGTCGAGCCGGTCCGCCTCGGTCGTCGGCGAGTACTACATTGACATGCCACCCACGCCCGCGCTCGTTGCGGTCGTGGCCACGGCCGTGAGTCCGCGGGAAGGCCTCCCGCGCTGGCCTGGCTTCTCCACGCCGACGGGCCTTCTTCGGTGCCTCGATTGGTTTGGCACAGTCGTCTTTGCCGTCAGCGGCGCGCTCACCGCGGCCATGTGTGGCGCGAACCTCCTCGGGTGTCTCCTCATCGGCACCATCACGGCCATCGGCGGCGGTACAATCCGTGACTCGATCGTGCTCTGCAAGCCCCCGTTCTGGGTCGAAGAGGCCGAGTACCTCCTTCTGAGCCTCATTCCTGCCGGCGTTGCGTTTTTCCTCTGGGGCGCGCTCCCGCCCGGCACCGAGATCCTACCTGGCGTGACGCTCAAGGCCATCGACGGCGGCGAAGGCACGGCCATGCAGTGGGGCGACGCGATCGGTGTCGGCGCGTTTGCCGTCATTGGTGTCATGAACGGGATTCGTGCGGATGCACCCTTTCTCGTCTGCGCACTCTGCGGCATGATGACGTCGACCTTTGGCGGCATGGTCCGCGACGGCCTCCTCCAGCACCCGGTGCGCATCATGCACTCGTATGCGGATGCCTATGCGTCCATTGCGCTCGCATCGGCGTGCGTCTACCTCTGGCTCCGGAAGATGGCGCCGGCGCGCCAAGGCCTTCGCATCGCGATCGCGGTCGCCTTGGCGATCTTACTGCGGGAACAAGCGTGGACGCACGGGTGGCGGCTGCCCATGTGGGCGACCAACTCGCAAAATGTCATTGTCGTCGAGACCGACCCGCGCCTCGCGCGGTAGTGTCGTCTAGTTGTGTAATATCATCAAACACCTGTGTCGTATGTCAATAGAAGACACTCTTGGTCGAAAGCACGTGCGGGCAGGGACCAAGTAGATAGATGTGGAGAGTTATATTGCTGTCTAGCATCCTCGCACGATGCAGGCGTCGTCGATGGACCACACTCGACGACATGTGACGCGTCGCGGGCTGTAACCGACAACGAGGACGGTTACGCGGCAGTGCCCGTGCCACTATAGACCAAAAGGACGGTCGCGCGATGCCTGTCGACAGCTCGTCGTGTCGCACACATGTACAGTGCATCGGCGTCGGTTGTATGACGAGCTACAGTCTCGAGTCTTCGAACAACAGACAACTTGACCGTCTTCCAACAACAGACAACTTGACCACGTTGTCGTTTCGTCGACGGCCGCGACACACCAAATGCGATGACGGCGCACACCTCATCGTCGTCCACACAAGACGCGCGGTACTGTCGCCTTGTCGTTGCCAAGAATCCTCTTGATGGTTTCGATGCCAACGGCAATGGGAACGCGAAGAACGAGCAACAAATCGGGGCTCGAACCCCGCACCTCCTGTGAGGCAGGAATCATCCACCGTATGGTCAAAGGGTGGTCGACGTGTGGCCTCCGCATTCTTGACAGTCGGCACCGATCGCTACCCGTTTACTTCGTGCTCTCCGTCTGCCCGACGTGGCATTCGGTCTGGCGTGACTGCCATTCTTCTTCTCGTCCTGGGCTAGGGACTTCGTGGATGCATAAACACTTTCCTGCTCTCTCCACCGGCACACCAAGAACGCACCAAACCAAACAAGCGCGATGTGGACGCGATGGGACAGGTCCAAGACGACGCACGTGTCTATGTCTCGGCGGCCGAGCGACCCGCGCCGACTGCGCGCGCCGTGGTAATTCTCGTCGTCGTCGTCGTTGTCTTGAGGATGCGTGGTCTGCTTCGTCGCCTCGATCGCAGCAAAGCGACGCGGAAGCGCGTGGTCGTCGTCGCTTGGCGGGCAATCGTGCAACTTCAACACGCGTCCGGATTCAATCCGGAAAAGAAAAGAGCGAGGGGCTTTTGCATTTTACGTGGTCATCGGCCGACGAAGAAGCAAGAGGATACATCATGTTTCGCGAGCCGCAAAAGGGTGATTGGGCCGACGCATCGGACGAAGAGGGCGACGACGGCCTCCTGCGGGTGACGCCAGCACCGGCGCCTGCAACGCGCGCCCCGGCGGCGGCGACCAACTACTGGGCGTCGCGCGCCCAGCAGACGACGACGACGCCGGCGCAGGAGCGCAAAGCCGAGCCGCGCCAGCAGCAAGACGCCCGCGCGCCGCGCCAAGAGGCCGGGCGCTTTGATCGCCAAGGCAGCGACCGTGGCAGTGATCGCGGCTTTGACCGCAACAGCAGCGACCGGGGATACAACCGTGGCAACGACCGGGGCTACGACCGTGGCGGCGACCGCGGCTTTGACCGTGGCGGCGACCGGGGCTATGACCGTGGTGGCGACCGCGGCTTTGACCGTGGCGGCGACCGTGGCTATGACCGTGGTGGCGACCGTGGCAGCGACCGGTACGGCAGC